TATATATATATATATATATATATATATATATATATATATATATATATATATATTCTTGCAATTCTGCAGGCCAGTTCAGTTTCTAGTGAGGGCTTTAGAGAGTTGCCTTCTCACTATGGCTTATAGACAGCTGCCTTCTCATTCATACAAGGCCTCACCTCAGTTTGCATGTGTGTGTGTGTGTGTGTGTGTGTGTGTGTGTGTGTGTGGAGAGAGAGAGAGAGAGAGAGACAGAGAGAGAGAGAGAGAGAGAGATCAGTCTAGTGTCTCTTCTTAGACGTGCACTAGGACTTCAGGACCTCACCCTATGACCTCAAACTTAATTGCTTTCTTAGAGGTCCCATCTGCAAATACATATTAGGGTAAGTCTCCAATATCTGAGGAGGGTGGCCACAAACTCTAAGTCTATTACAAAGTTTGAGTCTATCACAAAGTTTATTACAAAGCTCAATCTCCTGTCTCTTTCTCTAGTCCAAAAGGAACCTGTACCTGTATTTCCTTAACTGGATGGCTAGAGAACTTTAGTTAGGGACAGAGCCATCCAGTGTGGAGGAAGAAGAGCCAAGGAAAATGGAGAAACGACTGTCACAAAGCTAGGGGGACTTTAGAGTGACTCAACGAAGGAGAAGAGCAAGAGCGAGCAGTAGCTTAAGGCCTGCATAATTGCACCTCTCCCTAGAGTATTCTTATTTTTTCATAAATTCCTCCATTTCACCACTTACTGTGGTGGTAATTCAGGCTAGTGACTTCAAGCCCTTTGCCTCAGTTTCCCCATCTGCAATACCATCTCAGAAGACTGTTGTGAGGATTAAATGAGAATGCAGGTAAAGGACCTGACATATATTAAGTCCTCAGTAAACATTAGCTAACATTGTGATGCTTCCCAGCCTCCTGTTCTCAACAGGCTGCATGCACCTCTTCACCCCAGATTCCCAGTCCTTGCTCATGACATTCCTTCTGCCTGCAATGTCCTTTCCAGCCTCTCCCACCTGCACATACTTCACACCCTGCTCAGTTACCATTATAACATTTACCAACAATTCCACCATTCCAATTAAGTAACAATGTTGCTTTAGTAGTTAAACATTTTCTGTCTACTCCAGGAAAGAAGTTTCTTAATCCTCAATGTGTCTTTCAGTCCCTAACCCAGCCACTACACTGCAAATGTTCTGCAAGTCCTGCTTGAAGAAGGGAAGGAAGAAATTTAAAAGGTCACCTGAACCCTTAAGCAGTAGTTCTAACTCTAATTTTCCTGTAAGCAGAGGTCTTATAAGGGTTATCACAAAATGCTCTGCAAATTCTCAAAACAAGATTTTTTTGGGGTGGTACTGGGGTTTGAACTCACAGTTGCTACACAAACACTCTACCACTTGAGCCATGTCTCCAGCCCCTCCACTCCCACTTTTTTTGAGATATTATTATGTAGCCCAGGCTGGCCTCAAACTAGCAATTCTCCTGCTTCAGCCTCCCAAGTGCAGGGATTACAGATGTATGCCACCATGTTCAATTTTAAGATTACTTTTATCTAGACTTTAGTTGTAAAACAACCCCAAACCTGTGACACAGAACTTTCTGAAAAAGAGAGCATTATAAGCTGGATGCCGGTGGCTCATGCCTGTAGTCCTAGCTACTCAGGAGGCAGAGATCAGGAGGATCTGAGTTCGAAGCCAGACTGGGCAAATAGTTCAGCGAGACCCTATCTTGAAAAATCCTTCACAAAAATAGGGTTGGTGGAGTGGCTCAAGGTAAAGGCCTTGAATTCAAGCCCCAGTACCAAAAAAAAAATTATAAAATCAAGTGACTGTAAGAATAACTCAACCCCAAAATGTTTGCATTGATAATGCTTTCAGTGATGTGGTAGGAGATAAGCAGACAGCAGCAAAAGCAGTGAGAAATGGATGCAAAGAATAGACACTCATTTGCTGAGTGTCTCTTCTCCATCAGATGCAATCCTTGTCAACAGTCCTGTCAGGGAGATAGCCTTAAACCCAGGTCTATCTGACTCCCTACTTTGTGGATGAAAAGAAGTGTTGCTTGCAGAATGGCTCATGTGGTAAAAGTGCCTGCCTAGCAACCGTGAGGCCCTGAGTTCAAACCCCAGTACCACCAAAGAAAGAAAGGAAAAGAGGCACAATCGGAAGGTGTTGCATAGCCAATGAATATGCCCATCTGCCTCATAGACTTACCTGCTTGAGGACATGGTCCCTGGGAGGGACCTCAAGGGAACAATAATAAGGGGTGGAAGTGTGGACTGAAAGGTGGACGTCAGGCCTGGGAAGTAACGTACAGAATGTAATGTCATGAAAACCAATGAGTTCTCCTTGTCCCCAAAGAGCTCCCTGCTTAACTTATATTATGGTTTTATGGTTAAAGGCCTTATTTCTAGCAGACTTTCAGGATATAAGCATTACCTGGGAAAGGAAGTAAAAGCAAGGAACCCAGCAACACAGAAAGACTGACTAGTTTATCAGATTAGTCATCACCTGGGTGACATGACAGAAGGGCACCAGGAACTGATAAGAGATGAGTGTGGGCTTAGAAAGTGGGAAAGGACTGCAACTTGGGATGTGTTTCTGAGATTATGAAAAGGGAGGGTGGTGTGGATTGAGGGCATTGGTGAGTGGAAGGACACTGAAGGCAAACTTAGCCTGTTTCCCATTGTTGCACTACCTGTACCTCTATTTTCTTTCACCTCCTTGATCACTAAACTCAAGGGTCATAAGGATGAGGAGCATGAAGGATCAACTTCAATGTTTAAGGAAGTCTGCACTGCAAGTGTACTACAGCTTCCAGGAGCCAAAAAGTTAAACTAGGCAGGAGGGATGCAGAAGTGCAAAGGCTTGGAAGAGAAGCAAGTGGGCTCCTTACCAGCTCCTCACACCTGTGGCTCACTGATGGCAGCTTAACAAGTCCCAGCCATCATCTCTGCCTCCTAGCAGAGGGCTCCTTTGCACAAGTTCACGCACCCATCCATGTAAGAACTGTTTACATGCATGGGCTTAGAATTCTCCTGAAGGCCACAAGAGGGCGGTGTATAGCAGGGATCTTGTGAGCTCGGATGCTCAAGTGAGGACCAAGCCGTCTACCTAGCAACATAGCTGCTCAGGCTTGGTCTGGGCCCCCTGGAAGTACCAACCACCCCAGACTATCCCTCAGATCCTACACACTCCTCTTCCACATCACTCCAACTTCTCTGAGCTTCCATTCCTAACTCAGAGGCATCTATCTACCTGGATTCCAGAAGTCTAGTGTGTTGGAATTCAGAAGTAACCTAAAAATCCAGGTTAGGGAAGCAGCAAAAGCAAGAAGAAGAAGGAAGAAGGGGAAGGACCACTAGTGACAGGGGACTTGGATGCTTTGAATATCATTACCTATAGGGGCCTGAGTCCCCCGCTGGAGCCCCACATAAGGGAAGGGATGTACTGCTCCCCTGGACACCCTGACCCCTCTAGAAGTTGGTATGGAATCTCAGAAGTAGAATGCTGGTAGGAGGTGGAACCAGCATCCTAAAAAGGGCATGAGTCTTCTGGTCTCTGTTGATGTTGCGTTGGGACAACCCTGCAGGAGAGGAAAAGGGTCTCAAAAACGCTGCTTATGAAGGAGTAGGAGTTGGAAGTAAGAGGTTGGTTCCCTCTCTCCCGTGCTCTAGAGGTGAATCACCCTCTGAATGGAGGTGTTTTACAATAATCTCCTGGAAGCCTTCCTTTTATTAGCCCACCTGCAAAAAAATGTGAGAGGATTGGCTGACTGTGTCAGACAGTGTTATGCTGTACCGCAGCCCCTCACCTTGCTCTGCTGGGTAAGCAGATCATTATATTACAATTTATAAATAGAAAATAAAATAAAATTATTGGGTAGGGCTGAGGCACTGGGGAAGAAGAGGCTAAACAGTCCTCATTAAGGAGTGTCCACAATCAGCCCTACCTACCAAGGACCGGGGATCAACCTCCTCTCGGTTGAGAGTTGCCCCTAAACCAGGCAGTTCCCATAAAGCCCTTTTTCTCTCTTTCCCTCCCCCCTCCCAATCAGCGAAACCTGCTGCCCATATCCCTAGAGCTTAGCCAGCACAGCCCAGTTTCGTTGAGCGCCTCGAGGTTTCTACGCCTGGGCACTCAGCCCATTAGCTCCTCCGCCAAGCGATAGAGAAGGCGAGAGTACCAATGCATGCCAGTCGGCTGGACTGCACCGCCGGGGAGCAGCCCTCCCAGAGCATGCAGCAGGCGCAAAGGAGCAAAAGCGCGGTGCGCCCACTGGTGACTCTCTAAAACCGCGTAGCACGAGGCCAGGACATCGTTGACCAGCAGCGTCCCGTGAGCGGTGAGCGGCGCGAACACGCCCACGGCTTCCTCCCGCGCCACCCGGGCTACGCGCGCCGGCCGAAGCGCGTCCCCACCCGGCGCCAGCACTGAGTCTCCAGCGCGTAACCGGCGCGCGAACACTGGTGCAAAGTCGCCTGGAGCGGGCGCTGGCCCTCGAGCGGCAAACACCAGGTGCCAGGGTGTGAGCAACAGTTTTCTAGGAGGCCGCTCTGTCTCTACAGCCACGAACGAGGCTCGGCGCTGCAAGTCTCGGTCCAGGAAGAGCAGCACCGGTGTGGGCACCACCCGGCCTGCCGCATCTGCCGCCAGCACCCAGTCACCGCGATGCAGTTCCCGAAGCCCTTTCCGCTCGCCACTCCGCAGGCGCACGGTGGCATTTCCCGGAAAGCAGCCGCCTGCCCGGACTGCCAGTGAGTTATCTGCAGGGAACAAACATAGAACTGAATCAAGATCAGTGCCTCCAGAAAGTTGGTACACATTCTCAAAGATGTGTGTCAAGCCCAACGCAGACTTCGCTACTCCTGGACAGTGGAACTTCCCACGGATCTGACCTCACCCTAGGCAGAAATGGAAGGGCGATTTACAACACTAACGCCCGCTTGGTCTCCTCGAGGATAGCAACAGCGCTATTGTAGACTCAGTTTCCAGGAGAGAGCCCCTTTTGGGCGGGCCTTACCACCCGTCCCTTACTGTACCAGCTTTGACGGACACGTGGACGTGGTTGCGGGACTCATAGTAGACCCAATCGAAGCCAGCTTCCACTGCCAGGCGCGCCAGCAAACCATATTTATTTCGGTCGCGGTCAGACGTGGTGATGTCCAAGGCACGGCCTTCGTAGTGGAGTGAGTCCTGAACGTGGTGGCCGTCTTCATCCCAGCCCTCGGTCACCCGTAGGCGCACTCCAGGCCACATGTTCATCACCGCAATGGCCAGCGCGTTCACCCGCTCCTTGCAACGCTGGCGGGGAATAAAGGAGGCAGTCTCCCCACTACCATCACGGCGGGGGGCAACAGGGACCTACATAGAAGGGTCGATTCTTTGTTCTCCAGCCTCCCTCACCTCCCTCCCAGTTTCTGAGTGTCCTGGGGAAGTGAGATGTGAATAGATAACCAATCTGCACTCTCTTGCCAGGGCGTCAGTGGAGAACCGTTGGGGTCTCCTCTGAGGTTGAGAGGGGGCGCCCATACCTAGCTCTTTTCCAATTTTTAATGCCCCCCCACCACACACATACTTGTTCTGGGACGTTGGCCCAACCTGCGAGAGAGCCACAATTGAGAAAGCGGGTGGAAGTTTGGTTAGGGAGGGCCTGACTCCCCGAGAGAGGAGCCCCTGTTTAAGCCTGGCCCCCGCCCCAGGCCCCCCGGCTGCCCTCCCTTCGCCTGATTCATCTTTTGTTTCGTTGCCTTCCCTGGCACTGGGCATTGCTTCCTTCCTTCCTTCCTTCCTCCTCCTCCTTTCAGCCCCTAGCATTAACCCCTTCGTGGTCTGGGTGCCCCCCACAGAGGTGCCCAAGAGCAGCGGTGCGGGATTAAGACTGCTGGAAAAAGGGTTGGGTGGCGTGGGTTGCGCGAAGTACAATGGCCATTCTCCGGGATGACTTAACTGAACGAGAATCCCGGGCCGAGGCAGGGAAGGCGCGGGGAGAAGCGGACTCAGCAGCTCCAGCCACAAAGGCGCTTTTCAGCCGCCCGGGCTCAGGGAGAGGAAAGGGCAGAAAGCCGCGCCCCCCGTCCCTGCTCTGGCCCGCCAGGTCCCCTCCCCCAGTGTGGTCAGTCCTCCCAGTTCCAACTAAAGCTCTACTAGTCCCAAGAATTTCCATCTGTCCATCTCTGATCCAGAAGCAGCCCAAAAAGGCGTGGGAGCAACACCTGAAAATAACTGGGCGCTGCCCTTGCGATCTGGGGGGCCCCCTGCAGGGTGGGAGTGGAAAGGAGGAAAAAGGAGCAGAGGCTGGAGGCCTGCCGCCGGGGGAGTGAGGCCACAGTTATCTCTGCCGCTGCAGTCTGGGAGCTGGAGACCTTGGCGCACACCATAGCACGGACACCGCGGGAGGAGCGCAAGGAGATCAGCAGCTTTTTCTTCTTCCCCCTCTGATCTCTCACCTCAGAATTGGTTTCTCCTAACTGCCAGAGGGACACTTTTCCCCTGCCTTTCTTTACTAGTTGTCACCACCTCTACAGGGGTTGGGGTGTGTGTGTGTGGGGGGGGACGAACAGGAAAAGGGGTAGCTCCTTCCAACTTCTTGTCGTTTTGTCCCCTAAGGAGGCCCTGACCTGCGGGGGCAGCAGCCCTGTGCAGAGCCAACTCAATGGAGGCCTTTTGCAGCCAGGGTGTGGGAGATAAGCAGGACTGAGGGGGTTCCCAGGCCTGTCAGAGGCTCTCCTGAGTCTGTCCCTTGTTCTGCCCCCTCTGCTGCAGGTGGCAGCCAGAGAGGGCTAACAATGTTCTATGACTAAGGAGGGGAAAAGGAATGCCCTTCCTAATCTCTGGGTAGGAGGAAGGCTTCAGCACAGGAACAAGAGGGAATTCTTTCTCCCCTGGACAGGTTTTCCTAACAAAGTAACCTGGAAAACTATGGCAATTAATCAGAGGAAATCCGTACTCCTCCCTCTCCCCCCCACCTCCCCACTCCATACACAATTAGGTGGTGTAATGGAAAGTGTATAGGACTTAGAATTCAGGAGTCCTTAATTCTATCCCAGCAATGCTACTATTTAGTTGAGACTTTGATTAAATTGCTTTTCCTCCTGGGGCCCAAGCTCTCAGATATAAAGTGAGGAGTGGGGTGAGGTGGAGGATTGTGACTTTAAAGTTTCCTTTCAGTTCTGACACTCCTTCTACTAGTGGTCCTCTTCCAAGCCATGGCCCACCTCAACCCAGATGGATTTAGTCTGCAGCAGATACCCACTAATAGTAGTTGAATTTAATTCTTTGGAGGAAAGTCCCTGTGCTAAGCTGAGCTTGGAGGACCTTGGAAGCCTTTTGATTCTCAGGTAGACCCATCTGTTCTCACTGAGGATTTGTTTTCCCCCCCCAAGTTTGTTGCTTAGACCCTAGAATAGCCCTATCCTGGCTCTAGTACACCTCTCTGGTGCCAAAGACATTTCCTGCTCAGCCTCTTCTCAGGTAGATGGCCTGGTGACCTGACCCTTTCCCAGCACCCTTCGGCTTCTTCTTTTCGGTCCATAGAGCTTTTCCACATCAGGTCAGGAGCCAAGCTAATGGTAAAGCCTTCTGTCTACCACCCAGCCAGCGCTGGCCCCCAGCTCACCCCAGCCCTTCCTGCCTGGCTCAGTGGCTGACCCCCGGTCCACGCCTCAGCCATTTCCCGTCTCGCCTGCCGCCATCCTCCTTTCCCTCCCACCCACCCCCCCTGCCTCTCCCAGCTTCACTCTCACTAGCCAGTCCCTCTTCTCCTTCCTCATCGCAGCCTCTCCCTGTTGGGATAACTTCTGACCATTGTCCAGCCAGCAGGCTAATTTTTAGACTAAGGTCTTTGTACATGAAGCCTGGCTCACCCTCCGGAGCTGTCATAGGATAACTGAGGAATTGGTGGTGCCCTAACGCAGGTGGGGGAGCATTCCTTACCTCGGTCATCAGGCGGTCAGCACCACTGTTCTCTTCATCTTTGAAGATGATGTCAGGGTTGTAGTTGGGCACAAGGTCCCGAAAACGCTCGGAGTTCCGTGTCACCCTCCCCTCCGCCGGCCCACTGGCGCCCAGGGTCCGCTCGGGCACGCTGGGCACAAATTGCTTGTAGAGCAGCGGCACAAGCTGTTTGCGCACGTAGCGGCGCCTGCCAACCGGTCCGCGGCCCGGCCCGCAGCTCTGGGCAGGCAGTGCCAAAAGTGCCAAGCAGCACAGGGGCAGCAGGCTGGCTGGCAGCGCCATGAGTGTAGCGGGCGTGGGCCAAAAGGGAGCGTTTCGTTCTCACTAGCTCTCCTGTCAGTTGGGCATCTCCAGTCGCCAGAGAGCGCAGCAGGCAGAGCTGCCCCAGAGTGCCCTAGGCCTCTTGTGGCTCTGAGCACCTAGCTGCCGTTAGTTCTGCCCACATGCCCCGGGGGAGCCTGGACCCTGCTACTGATGGACCACCATAGCAGGGCGGGGGAGTCGTGGGTGCCAGTCCAGCCTGTCTCTGCGGCTGGGCTCCAGTGCTGCCAGAACGCGCCGACTCCGCCTTAAGTGGCCCCTGGCCCCGCCCCCCGCCCTTCTCCCAGTACCGTCCCACCCCCTCCCACCCGGGCGGGGGATCCAGCCAGTGGCCACTGTTGCATTGCACGACTGAAGTGTGTCCCATCCTGGAAACCATGCAGGCACCTGCCTAGGAAATCCTTGTAGCTTTACAGTCCTTGGCTGCCTGGATAAGCATCCTTCTACCTCCAAGCCTAAATTTGGAACCAAACCATCCTCCTCTGAGACTTGAAATGGGTCTTTGCTCTCCCAAAGCCTACCTTGGCAGGCCATGCCCTCTGCTGTCATCCAGGAAGTAGCAGTTCCAATTTCTGCTCAAGGCCAGCCAAGCCCTTTGGGCATACCTCCCTTCTCTGTGGTCCTCCACAAACCTCCCTGGTTTCTATCTCACTTCACACTCAGCAGTAACCAGGACTAGAAGGTAAGGATCTCACAGAGCCATTTTCTCTAGTAACCTTATAGTCCTCCTCTGGGAACTTCCCCAGAACCAAAGACAGCTTGGTACTTATAGTCCACTCTAGGACTTCCAACTATTGTGTCCTCTGAATCCCTGCCAGCCATCCAACAACCACTTTTTTGGAATGAGTAACTGGTCATTTGAAAACTGCTGAAAGGCAGTGGGCACTTAAAGTTCTAGTCTGTAAGATAATGACCAACTCCCATCACGTTCCATCTAGCACTTCCCTCTTGACTCCTTGGGACCCCAAAGCCATTTAGGTTTCATCTCAGAGGCACTTCACTCATCAATGTCTATCACTTATAAATCACTTCCTCTAAGAGGCCTTCCCTGATGTCCCAACACTGGCCACCTGTGTTCCCTTGCTAGGCAGCAATTAACTGCTACAGTAGGACAGTATTAAAATTGTCTGGCACCCTTCTAGACAAAGCAGTTCTTCAGCACAACTTGTTTATCATGTATCTCCAAGGCTAACTGTCTAGTCTACAGTAGGGTGCTCAGCAACTCTATTTTGTTTTGTTTTGTGGTACTGGGGCTTGAACTCAGGGCTTACCCCTTGACCCATGCCACCAGCCCTTTTTTGTGAAGGGTTTTTGAGATAGGATCTTGAGAACTATTTGCCTGGGTTGGCTTTGAACCTCAATCCTTCTGATCTCTACCTCTTGAGTAGCTAGAATTACAGGTGTGAGCCACCTGAGCCTGTCAGAATCTATACTTTTTATATTCCAGACACATCCTCCCTTCACTGCACAGTAACTTTGTGTACACCTGACTTCTATTTACAAGAAAATGGTCATGGAGGGTGGGAATGTAGCTTAGTGGTAGAGTACCGACCTAACATGTGTGGTCCTGGGTTTGAGCCCTAGCACTAAAAAAAAAGAATATGGCCATAGTAGCTACGCATACGACTATGGGGTACATGGTGGCCCTAGGAGCTATGCGATGTATAACCCTAGGCAGAAATTTTGACCCTACCCTAAACATAGCAAAAGGACTTCAAGGAGGTGATAACCTCCGTAAAGATGAAGTTAGGTTCTTATCTAAGATAGAATAAAAAATCCTTGTTAACCAAACCACTTCTGTATAGCCAATTGTCAAGTATGGGAGGACAGGGCTGGGGTTATCTTATTCCTATGCCATGGCAGCTCCCAACTGTATAGCCTAGTGCCAGATCTATGTCCCCAAAGCACACCAACAATGTAGAAAGTGGGGAAGGACAACGATGGTGTCAGGACCCCTCTGCTTCTCCCACTTGGTAGACTCAGGACTGGATGGAGCAAAGCTATTCAAATAGACACAGAGACAGGCTCTTTAAAAAAAAAAAAAAACCAAAGCAAACCCTGGTATCAACTTTATTGCTGATGGGTGCAGCCTCTTCCTCCCTATGCCCTCCGTCTCTCCAGTGGTCCAAAGTCCCTCCAGGTTAGCACAGTGCTTAGGCTCTGCTGGGCCAGAAGCAAGGGAGACAACCTGCCTCCTGAGCCTGCCCCTGGCCCATTCCCTCCCATTCCCACCCCACCCTATTGCACATCAAATCATGTAAACATGGCTATGGGCATGGCCCAGAATAGCAGTGAGGCAGATTGATGTGTAAACACATTTGGGACCAGGAGCCAGATCCAGTCACCCAGCTCTACCCCATGCTGAGGCCACAGCTAAGTCTGAAAAAATGGGGGTCTGGTCCCAAACTCTGGCTCAGATTATGCAACAGTGCAGATGGCTCAGTTCTCCTCTGCCACCCACCCTCTCAGACCTAGGTCCTGAGGTCCATACACCCTGGGCTCCCTTCCAGGTCTAGGCAGCAGATGGCAGTGTCCAGTTTTATCCTTCCTACTCCCAACTGGGTCACTGGTGCTGGGTCTTCCTAGATGCCCGGGGGAAACTGGAGACAGGAAGTGGCAGTCTGTCCAGTCCTGGAGAAAAAGGAGAGATGGGCAGTCAGAAGTGGGCTACAGGTCTAGTCCCTCAGGGATAACACAATCAGGGCACAGGATGGGTGGATGAGATGCTTATGCACACAGTATGTCCTCTCCTCTGCTAGCATGAACCCTGGTCCAGAGTGCCCTATCTTACAACCACCACCCCCCTAGCCTGTGCCTCCCAGCCTCCCACTTCCTCTCACCGAAGGCCCGGATCAGCTCTGCCCTCACAGCTGCGGTGAAGGTCTTCACCAGACTGAGTGTGGTAAGGCCTGCGAAGGCTGCATTGTAGAGGAACACGATGTAGAAATTGCCTAGCCAGTTGAAGCGTCCAAAGTCACCCAGCAGGTCAAAGCGAGTCAGCCCTGGAGTACAAAGGCTAGGATGAGAAGGGGGCTTCCCAACCCTTCTCCTAATAGGAGCCCAACTTTCTGCTGCCTCCTGGTGGTCACATCTAAACACTGCAACTGGCAATCTCTATGCATATTATTGCTACCTGCTAAATTTTGTCTCAGCAGCTAAACGTGCTCCAATTCCCCTTCCGCAGCCTGGCATCTATTCTTTCAAAGGGGTCCCCTCTGGCTCCAAGTGTCCCTTAGGAGTTCCCTTGTTCCTGAGTCAGGAATCTACAAGTTTTCCTTAGTACACAGAGAAGTGGGGTAGATAAGAGCTCAGACTATAATCAGCCTGCTTTGGTTCATATCCCAACTCCACCTCTAACTATCTACAAGATCAAGTTCCTTAAACCCTTTGTGCCTCGGTTTCTTCAACTTTAAAATAGAGAAAAGGACTGTAAGAATTAAGACAATGCCTACCAAGCATAAGGCCGAGTTAATCCCCGTGCCACCAAAAAAATAGATACAATACAGAAGAATCTTAAAAAAAATTAAAACAACATCTATAAAGCCCTGTACATCCCAGGCACTATTCTAATACTAAGTCCTTAATAATATTATCATAGGTCAAAGATCTGAACCCTCATTTAAATATTCCTAGCTGCATCCAACCTAATGGACCATAGCCCACTTTCCTACTAAATTCCTATGGCATAAATACAAATAGCATAATGGAGAAAGTACAAGTTGAGCATCCCTGCCCAAAAAGTCTAAAATCTAGGGGGTGAATTCAACTATGATATATTTGAATGTGACATTGATGGTAAATGCCACAATATATACCCAGTACAACAATAAACACCCCAACAATCAAAATTATTGGAGGTTTTTTTTTTTTTTGGTGAGACTGGGGTTTAAACTCAGATCTTCAGGCTTGCAAAGCAGGTCCTATACAGCTTGAGCACAACTCCAGTTCATTTTGCCCTGATTATTTTGTCTCACAAACTATTTGGCCCTACTGGCCTTGAACTGTTACCCTCCTTACCTCAGCCTTGCAAATGGCTAGGATTACAGGTATGAGCCACCAGCACCCAGCTCCACTGGAGCATTTTTTTTTTTCTTTTTTTTTCTGTGGTACTGGGGTTTGAACTCAGGGCCTATACCTTGAGCCACTCCACCAGCCCTGTTTTGTGAAGGAGTCTTTCAAGATAGCATCTCATGAACTATTTGCCTGGGCTGGCTTCGATACTCCTGATCTCTACCTCCTGAATAGTTAGGATTACAGGTGTGAGCGCCTGGCACCGGGCTCCATTGGAGCATTTTGGATTCAGATTTTTGGATTTGGGATGCCCAACTTCTAAAGTCAATGCAAATATGCCCAAAATTGAAAACTCCAAAACATTTGAAACACTTTCTTCTGGTGTCAAGCACTTTAGACAGGAGATATTCAAACTTTATAAAGTTAAGGACTGGTGGAGTGGCTCAAGTGGTAGAGTGCCTGGAGGCCCTGAGACCAACCCCACTACTGCTAAAAAAAAAA